CCCTGGGGGGTGGGGGGACACGGGACGGGGGGATGGACCCTGGGGGGTGGGGGGCACACGGGATGGGGGGACGGACCCTGGGGGGCGGCCGGGGGGGGACCCTGGGGACCCTCAAGAAGCCGCATGGGATTTTGGCGGCCACACCCCACCCGACCCACGACCCACCACCGCCCCCATCCCCTGCCCCCTCCCACTGTGCCCCACCTTCACTTCCGCCCCACCCCCACCCCACTGGTGAGGCAGAGATGGCTGCCAAACGCCGCCCTCTCTCCCCTCGCCGCAGGCACGGGCTGGCAGAGGCTGAGCTGAAGGATGTGCTGTCTCTGGACAACGAGGTGCTGCTGGCCGCCTACCGCGACTGGACACCACCCAGCCAGGAGCTGCTGCGCTTCCCGCCGCTGCTGTGGGTGCGGCTTCGCCGGGACCTGAGCCCCTACTTGGCGCAGCGGCCCATGCACGGCGCCACACTGCTGGCCCTCGCCCACAGGTGGGTCCAGGGCTGCCCCTGGGGAGCACAGGGTCAGGTTCACAGGGCTCCGGGCCCCACCCCAGGAGCTCTCAGCTCACCCATTTGTTTGCAGTTTTTAAAAAAACATTTACTAGCTGAGGTGTGGTGCATGCCTGTCATCCCAGCGTTCAGGAGGCTGAGGCCGGAGGATCACAGAGCTCAAGGCCAGCCTGGGCTGCCTAGTGCAACCCTGTCTCAAGAAACAGAAAGCACCAAAAAAATTTTGTAGCCAGGGATGGTGGTGCACACTGCAGTCCCAGAACTCTGGAGGCTGAGGCAGGAGGATCCCTGAAAGTCCACAGCCAGCCTAGACTCAAAGCAAGACCTGGTCCCAAGTCAGAAGGGCTAGGGGTAGGAGAGGGGGCACCTAGGCCTCCAGCCTGCCTAGGCCTCACACAGCCACCACTGAAAGCAATGCAGCCCTTTTTAATTGATTGATTGATATCAGAAACTGAACTCAGGACCTCAAGCTTGGCCGGCAGGCACTGTGCCACTGAGCCATATCCCCGGCCCAGCCCTTTTATTCCACTTATTTATTTGTGACACTAGGTATTACACTTAGGGGTGTCCTACCCCAGATGTTCTGTTAAAAGATTTTAAGACAGGGTTTGGCTGAGCAGCCCAGCCTTGAGCATGGGCTCTCCTGCCTCGGCCTCACAAGTCCTGAGGCCACAGGCATATGAGACGGGAGAGCCTCGGCCTTTGCAGGGCAGAGGGCTGGAGCCCAGCGCTCCACACATCCCGGCAAGCCTCGCCTTCCAAAGGACATCCTCAGCACCCTGCTTACGACGAGGGTGGAGTCCTCTAATATACAATTTCCAGTTCTTGAGTGTACAGCTGCACCGCTGTGTGGGCCACCTTCTGGCTCCAGACATTTCCATCCCCCAGGGAGCCCCCCCATCCCTCAGAGCCACCAGCCAGTTCCTGCGACTCTCCTGTCCTGGGACACTTTACACTTGTGGATCACGCACTGCATGGCCTTGTGGGTCTGGCTACTGTCGCGAAGCGCCATGGTTTCCAGTCACTTCCACACTGCAGCTGAGTCAAAGCTGCACTCTTTTCCATGGCTTAGTAATATTTCACTCCCATGAACCCCCACTGTGTTTATCTGTCCCCCTGGCCACGTGGGTTCTTTCTACTTTTCAGCTATTGTGCATAGTGTTGCCATGAACATGTATGGTTAATTTCTCATGTCTGCATTTCTTTCATTTTTGCCTATTTATTTTCCTGAAATTGAGGTGTTGCTAAATTCCCGAGGATGGAATTTGCGATCTTCCTGCCTCAGCTTCCTGAGCACTGGGATGACAGCTGTGCACCACCATCCCCAGCTGCTAAAATCGCCTTTTAAAATCCATGTATTTGGGGCTGGTGAGATGGCTCAGTGGTCTAAAGCACCTACTTAGAACAAGCTAAGCTAAGCAAAGCACAGGGACTGCGGTTCAATCCCCAGCACCACAAGCCAGCCAGCCCCGCCCCCCTGGTGGGCTGAACTGGCCACACACACACTAAAGTTATAGACAGAGAACAGGCCACTCTAGGGAACGCAGTCCGCCACTTTGGGAACGCCTGGGCCTCACCCACCCCGGCCTGTCTCCAACCCCGTGTCCCTGCCCACATCCTTGTCTCCACCCGCCCGCAGGCAGCTGGCTGAGGTGGTCCGCACGCGCTACCTGTCCCCACCCGAGTCAGCCGCACGGCATGGCGTCCTAGCTGACTTCTTCTCTGGTGCCTGGAGCCAGGGAACCAAGAAGCACATAGCGCTGCCATGCACGGGAAGGCCACTGAGCCTGGACCGCAAGGTGAGCCCCTGCTGTGCAGCCTCTGAAACCTACCTGCTCTCCTCCCCACAGAAGTGAGGGACCCCGCCCCTGGGCACCACTGGGGTGGCAAGCAGCGGAGGGGAAGGTACAAACCCCTGACTTACCGGGACAGAAAAAAATCACAGTATTTGGGAACATTAAAACCACCCTCAGCTGGACATGGTTCACACGCCTTTCATCCCAGCACTATGGGAGGCCGAGGCAGGAGGGTTGCAAATTCAAGCCCAGCCTGGGCAACCCAGAAAGCCCTCGTCTCAAAATAAAAACAAGGGCTGCGGCATAGCTCAATGAAAGAGAGCCTACGTAGCATAGGTGCGTCCCTGGGTGCCACAGCTACACTGCCAAAAGAAACAAAAATCTGAGGGACAGCTCCATCTACCCTTCCACCCTTCCCCTGTGGGCCTGAGTATGCCCCTGTGAGTCCCATAGCACAGTCCGATTTCCATACCTGCTTTCTAACACATCACTCAAGGGCTTTAAAACTCTAGCGCCTCAGCCCAGGAGCCTGCCTAGCAAGCGCAAGATCCCGAGTTCCAGTCCCAGAACCAAAACAAACAAACCACTAACAGTTCACTAGGCTAGGTGCTGCACCTCTGTCATCTTACCTACTCGGAAGGCTGAGGTGAGAGGATCGAAAGTTTGTGCCCAGCTGGGGGGACTTAGTGAGACCCTGCGTCAAGAGGAAAGAATAAGCTGGGTGTGGTGGCGCACACACACGTGATACCGGGACTTGGAAGGCTGAGGTAGGAGGATCGGTGTGAGTTCGAGACCAGCCTGCACTGCATCATGAGAGCCTGTCTCCAAGAAAAGACCAGAAACACACACACACACACACACAAACACAGAGAGATAAAAAGAAAAAGGGCGGGCACTGGTTAGTGGCACAGGGCCCTGGCGCTCCATCCCTGCGATGAGAGAACCTGACATTGTGGCATTCTGCTGCAAGCCCGCGTGGTCGTGTGGTCGCATCCATAGCCCAGGGAACAGTGGAGCCCCGCATCCTCAGGCCCCTCCCGCAGGTCCCCGGAGTGGAGCAGCCACACCGCGGGTTCTGCTCTTTGCTCTCAGCCTCCTTTGCTTTTTCCTTGGTCTCCACGGGACCAGGGTGGCCAGGAGTCTGCTCCGCCCGGGACCAGGACAGTCTCTGCTCCGCCCTTCTCCTCCTGAGCAACTCCTGCTCTGTGCCCAGAGGCCCTGTGGCCCCTTTGTCCTCCCAGGCTGGGGTGCAGCCCTGGGCCTCGTTTTCTGCGCGTCCTCGAAAGGAAGCCTCGCCGCTAGCACCCGGTTCTGCCTCCCGCTAACCCTCTACTCGCTCCCCAGCGCCCCCTGCTGTGTCCACAAACCCTTGTCCTGCTCACGCGCATGTGCAGGTCTGGAGGCGGCCTTGCTTTGGGGCCCAGGCTGGACGTAGACTCTCAGGGTCCTTCCTGTGATGCCCCTGCCTCAGCCTCCCCAGCAGCTGGGGCTCAAGAGTGTGCTGTGGTGACCCCATTGCTTTCTGACACGTTGCCAAACGGACTCCTGCATATCCTCTGACACCTCCCTGTCCCCAGGAAGTGTCTCATCCCTGCTTCCGAGCAGCCTGAGCCCGGCCCCTCTCTCGATCTAGCCCGGGCCACAGGAGCACACCGTCTGAGCAGCGCACAAGTCCCCTCGCGCTCCAGCCCACCCCCATCCCTGCAGGTGGCGCCGCAGCCCCTGTGGTTCTCAGACTCCATCGCCAATGAGCGGAAGCTGGCGGAGCTCCCCTTCCACCTGCTGCACGCTGGACGCACTGAGGAGCTGCTGCGGGACGTGCTGGGTGAGCACCGCCCTCCTCGCCCAGGGCCAAGGGTGGCGGAGTAAGCCGTTGTCGCCTGTCTTCAGGAGCAGGGAGCGCATATCCAGGAGTGGACGCCAGGAGGCTATGTAGCAATGGGCATTGCACAGGGCACCAAAGCCTGTTTGTCTTTGGGACACTCAGTCTGCTTGTCTGTCCCTTATACACCCATCCACCCGCCCTGCCATGTACCCATACTATAGCATCCACCCACCCACCCATCCACCCACCTACCCAGCCATCCACCCAGTCATCCTCCCACCCAGCCATCCACCCATCTACTCACCCACTCACCCGCCCACACATCCACCCAGCCAGCCACCCAGCCAGCCACCCAGCCAGCCACCCACCTATCCACCCCATCCATCTACTCACCCACTCACCTACCCACTCACCTACCCACCCACCCATCCACCCAGCCATCCACCCACCCACCCACACACCCATCCATCCACTCACCCACCCCCCATCCACCCACCCAGCCCCCTCCCTGTGATTCTCAACCTCAAGACCTTCTGCCCTGCCCCTAGAGACCCTTGTTGTATCTGGGATATTTCAGGTGGGGTTTCCATCTCTTGTGGCAATAGTGGTGCTCCACTCACCCCAACAGTACAGGATACAGCCCAAAGTGTGTCTAACTAGGTGGGGGGACCCTAAAGGGGTAGAGCTGATGCTGAACTTTTCACACCCTGTGCCCGCAGGAGACATGAGCTGGCTGTCCTGCCGGGTGCTGTCCGGTGGCCTCGATGCCCTACTGGACGATGTGGACCTGTGTGTGCCCCATGTGGATGGCCCAGAACTAGGCCTGGTGCGTGAGGCGCTCGAGCTCTGCCGCCCAGCCCTGGAGCTGCGGGGTGCAGGTGTGTGGCTGGCCTGTGGTCCCTCCACCCTGGTTCAGGCTGTGCTGCTCCAGCCTTGGGGCTCCTGTGCTGCTGGTGCCTGCTTCCGGAGTTCCGAACTGACCTGGAGTGAACCCCAGTATGCCTGGACCACATCGTTCTCTAGAAGGTCTGGGAGGTAGCGATTCTGGACGGCTCAGGAAATGGCAGCTGATAGCAGCTCCCACGGGTGGCATTGGCAAGCTTCAGACACAGTTACGACTGGGCCACCTGCCACTGCCTTGACCTTGATGCAGTCTGCTTCGAGCAAGGAGGGGACTGTGGGAGGATGGCCTTGTGCTTCCCGAGCCCCAAGCCAGGGGTGCTTGTCAGCTCTTCTGCTGCAACACCTGAATCTAAAGCCTGCCTGGGCTTAGAGCTGGGCTTCATGTGGAATCATCCCCAGACCTTCTCATCTAATTATATTTTGTGGCAAGGTGACAGACATGTGCCACCGTGCCCAGCTTCAGTTTGCCACTGTAATTATTTGTAAGTGCATTCCACTTTTGGTGGCATTAAGAGTAGTCACAGCTGAACGCTGTGAGTTCTGGCCGTGTGACCTCCTGAGTCCTGTCCACAATGTCCCCTGGGCTACGAGGAAGGGGTACATCCAGTGGCCTTAGGACCTTTGGCAGTGCGGGCTTCAGGGCAGCCCTTTCTGCAGTGGCGTTAGGAGGGGGCTGGGCCTGTGGCCCGCTGGTGACAAGGAGCCCTCTGGGATCTAGATTCCCCAGCAGAGCCTAGGGGGCTTCCCAGTGATCTCCAGGACCCAGGGCTCCACTGCCCGGCTCCGGGAGGGAATCCCAAGCCCCAGCTGGGGTGGGACCAAGCTGCCACCAGAGGGCGCCCCAGGCACCTGCCTTCCATTGCTAGAGGACACCCCACACTCAGACCTCCCTGCAGACCAATGTGGCTTGCATGGAGCCGCTTCTGATCGCAGCTTCCTTCTTGGGCTGTCTCTGGCTCCTGGGGACAGAGACTGGGGCTTTGCACTTGCTAGACAGGCGGCCGAGGGAGCAGGTCCCTAGCCCTTTCTGTACATTTTGAGTCGGGGTCTCATTGTGCTGCTAAGTTGGATTCTAAGCATGTTCTTGAAGCAGGATTGAAAAAGGTTGGGAGCCTGGAGCCTGCTCAGGGTGGTGGGGTGGCGGGCCATATAGGCAGTCACAGTCCCTGTCTCCTTGTAGAGAGAAGCGTGTTGTATTCGGAGATGCTGGCCAGGCTACAGCCCCTCGCTGCCTCGTGCCCAGCGCTGGTGGGGCCACTCTGCCAGCAGGCCCAGGCCTGGCTCCACACCTGCCCACAGCCGCTGCTGGTGCCACTGGCTGGGTGCCTGCAGCCCCCTGGCGGGGCCCTGCGTGCCACTCTCACGGGCTGTCACAGAGGTGGGTGTCAAGGGCAGCAGAATGGGCATGGGCTCCGGGTGGGTCCCCAGGGCTCCATCAGCCAGTGCCACCTCACACTGACTTGGCCCTTGGTGCCCCTGGGGACATCAGAGCCCAGTGTCAATATGCTAATGAGCCCAGCCTGGGGACACTGCATCTCCCTGAGAGCATCTGCCATCAGCAGTGCAGCTGTGTGGCTCTGGCAAGGGCCTGAGCCCACCTGTGCGTTGGCTCCCATCTGCAAATGGTGCGGCATGCCGGGGAGCCACAGCAGAGGCCTGGCGCTGAGGGAACGGCTGTCGTCTCTGTGTGGCTGCAGGCATCACCGCCCTGGCGTGGAGCCCAGAGGAGCGGCTGCTGGTGGTAGGCACCCAGGACGGCATGGTGACTGTGTGGGATGTGCAGGAGCAACACGCAACCCACGTTCTCATGGGACACACAGGTAGGCCACCAAGGCTGCGGGGCACGAGCCTGCATCCCACACAGAGTCCCTCACCACGGACTCCTGGGCACGGAAACTCTGGGCTCTGTTTCTGCAGCTCTCAGCTAGAGCTGCGTGACACATCGCCCCCAAGTAGGGTGTAGTGGTGTGTGCCTGTGAGCCTAGCCACAAAGCAGGCTGAGGCAGGAGCATCGCGAGTTCAAATCCAGTCTGGGTCAACTAGAGAGACCCTGAGTCAAACAAGAAAGTAAAATTGAATTAGGGTATAGCTCAGTGTGAAGGCCCTGGATCCATCCCGTGTGTGTGTGTGTGTGTGTGTGTGTGTGTGTGTGTGTGTGTGAGAGAGAGAGAGAGAGAGAGAGAGAGAGAGAGACAGAGACAGAGACAGAGACAGAGACAGATGGACAGAGACAGAGACAGATAGACAGTGAGAGAGAGAGACAGACAGACAGCGAGAGAGAGAGACAGACAGACAGACAGTGAGAGAGAGAGACAGACAGACAGCGAGAGAGAGAGAGACAGACAGACAGACAGTGAGAGAGAGAGAAAGAGAAAGAGACAGACAGATAAACAGAGACAGAGAGAGAGAGAGAGAGAGAGAGAGAGAGAGAGAGAGAGCGCTGGGGATGTAGCTTGGTGAGAAGGTCCTGGGTCCAACCATGAGTACTACAAAAAGAGAAGAAAGTGTCTTCCAAACACTCTTGCCTTGGGATTGTTTCCCATGACAGGTTTCAGGGAGCCATTCATTCAAATCACAGCAGACTCTTAAGTTTTCATTCTGCCTCTTGTAGTTCCCCCAGGTACCAGGGGTGGAACCCAGGGCTTCCCCTGACTGCAGCCTCAGTTCCTGACTTACATTTTATTTATTTTTTAACTTTCTTGTCTTTCTGAGACGGGCTCTCGCTATGCAGCTCAGGCTGGCCTTGAGCTCACTCTGTAACCCAGGCTGGTCTGGAACTCTCAGGCTCCTCCTGCCTCGGCCTCCTGAGTGCTGGGACGATAGGCATGTGCCACACGCCCAGCTCTTTGTGTTTTACTTTGAGACAGGGCCTTGCCAAGTTGCTTGGCCTGGGCTGGGGCTTGGCTCCTCCTGCCTCGGCCACGCAGAGTGCTGGGATGACGGGCACACCACCCGCCAAGTAACAAACTCTTATTTGTTGTTAGAGAAACACCGTAAACAGTTTATTGAGGATCCCAAAGCTATTGTGGGTGTGAATGGAAAGGGGAGGCTCGGTATCTTGTGGGGTTTCCAAAAGGCAGATGTGAGGCTCCAGGGTTCTGCAGGGAGGGGGTCATCACAGAAAGTGGGGGTAAACATCAAATCATTAGGCTCACAGTGGCCGAGTAGTGCTCCAGCGATGCAGCACAGATTGATGATGGCCCCACGCTTGGCTCTTCCCCGAGCTCTTAGAAATTGAGCCAGGCATGGTGGCGCATACCTGTGATCCCAGCACACAGGAGGCCGAGGCAGAAGGTTCCCTGCACGTTCAAGCCCAGCCTGGGCTACGCAGTGAAAAATAACTGTCTCAAAACAATGAAAAAGAATTTAAATGCCTCCTGGACACCGAGTCTTTGTACAGTTCAGTGCTTATCACTAATTTGGCCTTTGGGAGGGCTGGTTGAATCCCAGCCTTCTGCTGCAGTTTCATTTTTCTCCCCCTAAACTGCCCACCTTGTCTTTGGGAGCCGGGTGTTCCTGCACCCGTGGGCACCGAGGCGATTGGGATGGAGCTCCCACTTACTGCCCCGCATCCTGCTGCAGGTGAGGTGACATGTGTGGCCGTGCTCGCCCGGGGGACCCTGGCCATCTCCGCCTCCAGGGACCGCATGCTGCGCCTCTGGCACCTGCTGTCTGGCCGGGAGCGGTGGACCCTGCGGGACACAGGGCTCCCAGACCCCCAACCCTGTAGTCTCCATGTGGACGAGGCCCAAGATGTGGTATACGTGGCCTGGGGCTCACAGGTAACGTGCAGCCACCCACCTGGCAGGTCCAGCTGGGACCAGGACATCCGGCAGTGGCAGGGGCTAGAAGGGGTTTCAAGTATCACTGTTGGCAGAGATGATCCCAGTTGGGTCTTGTGACCTTAAACCAGAGCCACATTCTCCTCTCTTATTTGGTCCCGTGAGGGCGGGGGACACACTTCCCCATAAGTACTGCTTTACCACCACTAGCCTCAGCTTTGTTGTGGTGGTGGTGCCAGGATGAGTTTCGCTGTGCTGCCCAGGCTGCCTTCAAATTCCAGATCCTCCTGCCTCTGCCTCCTGGGTATAGCTGGGTTCCAGATGGGCACCACCATGTCCGGCCACAGGGCTTCTATTTGTATGTTTTATTTTGCTTTGGGGACCAGGGATCAAACTTGGGACCTCGTGCTTGCCAGGCAAGCACTGTAGCCACTATCTCCCCAGCCCCAAGGCTTCTATTTTTTTTTTCTTTTAATGTATGTGTGTGTGTGTTTGTGTGTGTGTGTGGCCAGCTCAGCCCACCAGGGGGCGGGGCTGGCTGGCATGTGGTGCTGGGGGATTGAACCGTGGTCCCTGCACTTTGCTAAGCTTGTTCTAAGTAGGTGCTTTAGACCACTGAGCCATCTCACCAGCCCCCTTTTTTTTTAATTTTTATTTATTTATTTGCGGTACCGGGGATTGAACTCAAGATCTTGCACTTGCCAGGGAAGCGCTTATTCTATTGAGTCATCTCCTCATCAAGGCTTCTATTTTTAAACCTTTTCCTATTCCCAGCACTCAGGAGGCTGAGACAGGAGGATCATCATGAGTTCAAGGCTACCTGAGCTCCCTAGTGAGTTCAAGGTTAGCCTGAATTGCATAGTGAGAATCTGTCTCAAAACTAACAAATCATAAGCAATTAAAGAAGGAGTATAAGGGGCCGGGGAGATGGCTCAGTGGAATGAACACTTTCCTGGCAAGTGCAAGGACCTGAGTTCAATCCCTGGTTCCACAAAAAAAAAAAAAAATGTAAAGAAAGGGGTTAACTAGGCATGGTGTGCTCACCTGTCTCCAGCCACTTGGAAGGCTGAGGCAGGAGGATCACTTGAGCTCATCAGCTCAAGGGTAGCCTGGCCAACAACGTGCACTGGTCTTGTGTTTCATGGCCCTGCAATGGGCTCCCTCTTGCTCCCCTAGATCAGTGCTTGGAGCCTACAAACAGCGGCGCTGGTTTTCCGCATCCCAGGTGACATCTCTGACCTCTGGGTGTGCACAGCCGTGCTGGCATCCCACACCCAGCTGCTGACCCTGTCCAGGGGCAGTGTAGTCAGTGTGTGGAGCTTGGCCACTGGACACCTGCAGGGGACAAGACTGCTGTCCAGTGTCCCAGAAGAGACCCCGACTTGTGCAGTCACAGCCCAGAAACAAGGAAGGGTGATTGCGGGGTTCAGTGGTGGCTCCGTTGCTATGGTAAGTGACGGACTACAAGACCAACACAGCTTCCTCGCCACAGTCCCGGGCCTGGGGGGCTGATCTTCCTCGTGGCTTCTACTGAGAGACACTCAGACACCTAGTATCTGTCCCTCCCCCTCCTCCCCTCTCCCTTCTCTTTTCTATTTTTGATTTTTGTTGTTTTGGGGGGGGTTTGAGATGGTTTTCTCCTATGCAGTTCAGGCTGGTTTTGAACTCACTATGCAGCTCAGGCTGGCCTGGAACTTGCAGTCCTCCTGCCTCAACCTCTGGGGTGCTGGGGCGACGAGGGTGCTTAGGACTCTATCTTCTTTGAGACCCCCAGGGCTCCTTCAAGGGCTCAGCCATGCAAGGCCAGCCTGAAGGACACAGCAAAGCAAAAGCCCTGGGCTCTAAGCTGTGCCCCAGGGCAGCCGTTGACGTCCCCCAACTCCGGCCAGGTTTCCCCAGACGGAGGGCTCAGAGACCAGCTGCTGGACAGGCTCCCAGGAGCTGCATGGTTCCTGGCACTGGCCGAAGATGAGTCCCTACTCGCTGCAGGTAGCGTCCGGCTTTCCCGCTGGGGGCTGCAGGAGGAAATCAAAGTCAGGTTGGAAATGGGGTGATGTTTGGGGCCCCACGGGGCCCTGGGTCAGATGTCAGCAATGTCCTCTGAGAAGGTCGGATCAACCAAGGGCTTCAGGCTCTGCAACCAGGAGGGGCTGCTCCTGCTGCGAGGACTCAGCTGTGCCATTTGCTGGGCAGGAGAATGCCATAGGCACTGTGTCCAGCCTGGGGCCAAGTGCCAATAAAATTCTATCAGCACCAACATTTGAATCCTCTGTCCTCTTCGCTTGTCATGAAGTATCAGTCTTTGTACTCCTTGTGGTACTGAGGATGGAACCCAGAACCTCAAATATGCCAAGCAAGCCCCGTGCCACTAAGCTATATCCTTAGCCCTTTGCATTTGCATTTTGGTTCAAGGTCTCCTTAAGTAATTTGAACTCGGGACCTTCCTGTGTCAGCCTCCCAAGTAGCTAGGATCAGAGGTGTGCAACACCATGCTGGCTGGACTTTCTTCAATTTTTAGAAATGTAGCTGGGTGTGGTGGTACATGCCTGTGATCTCAGCTTTAGGGAGACTGAGGCAGGAGGATCCCCTCAAATTCAAGGCCAGCTGGGCCTACAAAGTGAGATTCATTCTCTCTCTCTCTCTCTCTCTCTCTCTCTCTCTCTCTCTCTCTCTCCCCCCCCCCATACGTATCAGGGCTGAGTGTAGCTCGATAGCAAGGACTTACCTAATGTACTGCAGGTCCATCCAGGCATTGCAAACCAATCGGTCAACCAATCATTCAGTCAACCAACTAATCCATCAGTGGACCCGTCAAGGGCCACACAAAGGCAGGCAGCGGGCATCTTCATGCACCAAGCTCCCCTAAACTCTCTGGCTTTGGGCGTGTGCCCTGAGGTGGGAGTTCTCACCCTTGCCTGACAGCAGCAGGGAGAGAGTGGCATTGAGGAGGCACAGGGCTGCCTCTGTCCCTACACCCTGGGCCTGTGGCCAGGCAGGAAGACAGAATGAGGTACAGGGATGGTGTCCAAAGTGCTGCCTGCCCCCAGGAACACGGTGACCATGAGGGCCTGCAGCCGACTCCTAGAGATGGCTGACTGATGCGCGATGGGGCAGGGACTTGCAGGGCCTGAGTGCTCCTGTACCAGAGTGGCCCTGTGTCCCACGCCCTTGGCCATGCTGCCCCCAGCACTGCCACCTCTGCAGAGGGCATGGGAAGCCCTCCTCCCTTTCCTTGCGGTCTTCTCCTCCTGGCCGCCTCACCTTGCATCTCCAGACCCCTTGCTGGGGACCTTCAGGAGACCCACCCCACCCAAATGTCCCTCTCCCCCTTACTGACTGGCCCTGCAACTCCCTGCCCAGCTTCCTGCCAGCACTAACCCGCCCCTGGCTCCCAGACACCCAGAGTCTGTGCCGATCCCTGAGGGATCGATCTCTCTGGCCTACAGCCACATGGTGGGTGGCAGCCAGGCTCTGCCACCTTGTCCTCCCTGGCCCCCTCTGCTTGGCCTCAGCGCTCCAAGCCACCCTCCCTACACAGCATCACCACCCTCGTGCACGCATTGCAGGCTTCGGGAGACACGTCAGGGTGTTTCTGGCTGACACGGCGGGCTTCCGTCGGTTCATGGCCACCGACTTGGAACACGAGGATACAGTGGAGACGGCGGTATTCGGGCCCCAGAACAACCTGATTGTCACCAGCTCCCGGGATGGACTTGTTCAGGTGAGGGGATGCTACATCCCACTGTAGGTCTTCTGGGGACAGGGCCCAGAGCCTTGGGGACCTCTGTCTGCAGCACTCGGGTGTTGAGGGTTTCCCTGGGGGAAGCAGGACTCCCCAGGCAGACCTAGGCAGGCACTGCTCAAGTGGTCAGGAGGGAAGCAGCGCCCCACCTGCCCTGGAGAGCTGCCTGCGGCGTGAGCGCCATGTTGGGAGGACAAGCCCACATTCAGAGTGGCCGCGGTTGACAAGGAAAGCCCGTGGTCGCTGGTGCCCCGGTGCACACTGGCAAGCCCAGGTACCCAGAAGGCTGAGGCAGGAGAATCTCCAGTTTGAGCCTAGCCTGGGCAACTTGATGAGACCCTGTCTCAAAATAAATCTGGGGCCGGGGAGGTAGCTCAGTGGAATAAGCGCTTCCCTGGCAAGTGCAAGGGCCTGAGTTCAATCCCTGGTTCTGACCAAAAAAAAAAAAAAAAAATCTGAACGAGCTAAGGATACAGTTCAGTGGTGCAGCAGTTGCTTAAAGCACCTGGGTCAAAATAAAATGCAGGGAAGAAAGCTGGAGTACATCTCAAAAGCAGGCTGCTGGCCTTGCCCGCATGAAGCCCTGCGTTCCGTCCTCCCACCACTCCACTGGCTTTCCCTGCAGTCTTGGAGATGAGTGGGGAACTCAGGGAACCTTGGCTGCCTCGGACTTGGCGTGCATGCACGTGTTAGGGCCGCAGTTTCTTTTTTCTTTTTCTTTCTTTTTTAAAAAATGTATTTGGTACAGGGTCTCACTACGCAGCTTGGACTCCTAGGGATCCTCCTGTTTTCATCCTCCCCAGTGCTATATACACCTGGTCTGGGTGGGGGATTGAACCCCGGTCCCTGTGCTTGCCTAAGCAAGCCGCTTAGTCCACTGAACTATCACCGTTAGTAGGGCTGCAGTTTCTGCTGTGCTAGTGACAAGCAGTGGTCAGATGGGGACAACAGCCAGAGGGCGGGAGACCTGGCCGTCCTTCCCCAGGCAGGTCGGGACCTCGGAGCCCTGCCTCTATGCCCCGCCCCTTAAAGGAACCAGGATCTGGTAAGCCTTCCCTGGGAACAAGGCTGGCGCATGCGCGTTAGCGACTCGCTGAGCGGGCTGCTTGGCGAGAGGGGTGTTTTGTGGGGGCGTGCCCAGGGTTACAGCAGCTTCCCGGAGTCCCTGCTTATCCCTCCCCCTGACGCTGACATTCTGGGGCACGTCAGTACACTTCTCAAGCCATCGGATGTTGTGGGTCTCTCACATGACCTTTTCCACTCTGGGGTTCGCTTTGTCTGCTCTGGGGTTCGGAGGTCCCACAGGGCCCAGGGATCTGTTGCTGTGGACCCGCGGGCAGAGCTCACTACACCAGGCGTCAGGGCAGCGCCTCCGGGAAAGTCCCCCACATGAACAAGGGCATAGTGCATGCATTCATGCATGTGCACCCTGCAGCCTGCTCATGCGGCCTGTTCCTGCGTGTGTGCACAAGTCTGCATGTGCCTAGAGATGCATGCTCATGGAAACTGTGGGCATGGTGTCATATGTCCAAGCCCCCCCCCTTGGTGCCTATCCTACTGCAAGGCAGCAGGCTAACACGACTCTGCACCCCCACTTTGGTTTACCACAATGTGGTCAGGAAGCTTCTAGAACACTCCACTGCTTACCTGGAACTGTTAGGAAAACAGGTTGTGGGGGGTTGGCTTTTTTTTTTTTTTTCTTTTGGATGGTCTCACTGTATTGTTCAAGCTGGTTTGTTTTGCTTTATTTTTTGGTACTGAGACTCCAACCCAGGACCTTGCGTTTGCCAGGCAGGCACTATGCTGCTCAGCTATATCTCTGACCCTGTTCAGACTGGTTTTGAATTCCTGGGCTCAAGTGATCCTCCTGTCTCAGCCTCCTGGGTAGCTGGGGTGGAAGGCAAGTGCCACTTCCCCAGCTTGAACATAGTTTTGATCCTGTAAACACCTGGAGAGGGCCCACAGGTGCCCACAGGGCTTCCATGAAACATGCTTTGAGAACCACTCTGGCATTTGCTTGGGGAGCTTTGGGTAAGTCTGAAAGGCTAGGAAAGCTGGGAGCGGCGGGGCTGGCCTGTCATCCCCGCACATGGGAGGCTGAGGCAGGAGGATTGTCTGAGTTCAGCACCAGCCTGGGCTCTGTAGCACCGAGAGCCAGTCTCCAAAAACAAGAGGAGGCTGAGAAGGCCCTGGAGGCGGGGCCTGAGACCTCACTGAGACCACAGAGCTGCCATCTGCCTCGCTCCCCCACAGGTGTGGAGTGTATCGGAGCAGGGTGTGCTGCTGGACATCCTCGAGGGTGTGAGTGGCCCTGGGAGCCTACTGGCTGGCGCTGGGTCTCTGGTGGCAGCCGCATCCCGGCAGTCCTCGTCCCTCAAGGTCTGGGACCTCAGCTCCCCACAGCAGCGGTGGCGCCCATCGGCCTTCCTGGACCGCACCGGCCTGGCCACTGTATCCCACCAAGGGAGCTACGTCTACTTCCCCAAAGTTGGGGACAAGAGCAAGGTCACCGTTTGGGACCTGGCAGAAGGTTTGTGAGAAAGGACATCCACACAGTGTGTGAGTAAGGTCAGAAGCCTCGTCTTGGCTCAGAGGTTAAAGCAAACCTCCAGGCAGAGGCTGAAGTGGCAGCGCCAAGGGTCCAGATCCGGAGCTGGTGGGCTCACTGTTGGGATGGAGGGAGGCCCGATTCTGGGTTCCTAACCTGTGAGCTTCTTTCCTGATCCAAAGGCACAGATGGGGTGGAGGGGTATGTCTCCATTTTATTTTTATTTTGAGACAAGTTCTAAGTTGCTGGGTTGCACTTGAATTTGTGATCCTCCTGCCTCAGCCTCCCAGAGTGCTGGGGTGACGGGATGCTGTGCACACACCACCTGCCCAGCCGGCTCAGGCTTCTGTTTGCCCTCCCGAGCAGTCATAGGCTCCAGATGCCCGCAGGGAGCCTGGGCATTTCCAGATGAGAGGTTCCCTCCTGCAGAGGGCAACACTAGACAGAAAACAAAGCAGGGGGCACCCGGCTCTGGATGAGCCCCTGGGGGTAGAGCCTGGACAGGGCACCAGGGACCCCAACAACAAGGCCCTGGAGAGATGGAGGGGCAGGAGGCAGAGGCAGGAGAGACGCAAGTGGCAGCCCAGCCTGGCCAACAGCAACTTAGCGAGACCCTCTGTCAGAATAAAAAACGGAAAAAGGCTGGGGTTGCAGTTCAGCTTGGCGGCCGTCAGGGTCCATCGCCAAAGCTGCACAGAACCAAAACCAGCCACCCGTGCCCGCCTCACGGCTCCTGGCTCCTTCCCGGCAGGGGAAGCGCAGGACACCCTGGACGCGTCCAGCGAAGTGCGGTGCCTGGAGGTGGCCGAGGGCCCCAAGCTCCTGTTCGCGGGGCTGGCATCAGGCACGGTGCTGGTCTTCCCCCTGGACTCGCGGCAGGACGTGCTGTGCGTCCCCCCGCCTGAGGCCCGCAAGCCGGTCGTGGGCCTGGCCCTGAGCAAGCGCGAGGACCGGCTGGCCGTCGCCTACGACAACATTGTGCTGGTGCTGGACGTGGCGCCGGGGGACCCGTGCCCGGCCATCGAAGGGCCCGAGTACACCTTCTACACACAGCTGCCCGAAACCATCGCCAGCGTGGCCGCACTGGGTGACCACCGCGTGCTCTACGGCATGACCGGCGGTGACCTCTTCCTGTACGCATGCGCAGACTCCCAGGTGTTCCCGCTCGACGCCCACGGCAGCCGCGTCACCTGTGTGGCCGTCAGCCACGGCGAGCAGCTGGCGGTCAGCGGGTGCCAGGAGGGCCGGCTGTGTCTCTGGGACCTGGGCACGTGCGCGTGCAGACTGGAGCTGGGCTATACGGTTCGTGCCTGCCACCCTGCCCCGGCCAGGCTGGGCCTCCGGAGCCAGGGATGCAAGTTCCAGGCCCAGCCAGGCAACTTAGTGAAACCTTGTCTCAGAAATAAAAGGGTCCCGAGTGTCCTTTGGTGGTGCATCAAGCCTGGGTTAGATAACCAGCACCAAAACCAAATTAAAGACCTCCGCAGTGGAGAGAAATACAGGTTGAATGCCCCTTGCCTAAAATTCCTGAATGTTGGTTGTGGTGGTTCACACCTGTAACCCAGCACTCAGGAGACTGAGGCAGGAGGATTTCTCTGAGTTTAAGGTCAGCCTGCACTACAGTGAAAAAAAAAAGTGCATGGGCCAGAGTGTCCTGCGTGTCAGAGGTCGGAATATCTGCGTATCTCTAATGAGATATCATGGGGATAGGTCCCAATCTAAACAGGAAATTCGTTTTGTGTTTTATATATACACAAATGTAATTTTATTATTTATTTATTATTTTTATTCTTTGGTCTTTTTTGAGACAGGATTTCACTGTGTGCAGTTCAGCCTGGCCTTGAGCTCACTTTGTAGCCCAGGCTGCTCTTGAACTCAAAACAGTCCTCCTGCCTCAGCCTCCCCAAGTGCCACCACGCCCAGCTCACAAATGTAATTTTATACAATATTTTTAGCAATTCTGCCCATGACAGGAAGTTTCATGGTGTGGAATTCTCTACTCCTGGGTTTACTATTAGTTTCAACAAGTTTCAGATTTCAGAGTGTTTCAGATTTGGGATTCTCAATTTATAATTCCCTTTTCCTGTTCTCAGCCAGGGATGTAGCTCAGTGGCACAGCGCCTACCTGGCAAGTGTGAGGTCATGAGTTTGAGTCCCATACCAAAAATAAATAAATAAACAAACAAACAAAAAAGCCAGCTTGGGCAACGTTTTAAGGTCTAATCTGGGATCCCCCAATGTTTTCTTTTTCCTTCCCTCCTTCCTCCCTCCCTCCTTCCCCCCTCCACCTTTCTCCCTTCCCCCTTCCCTCTCTCCCCCCTTCCCTCCCTCCCTCCTTCCCTCCCTTCCTCCTTCCTCCCTCCCTCCTTCTTTTCCCCCTTCCCCTCTTCCTTTTCCTGTGGCACTCAGGACTGAACCCATGCATGTGAAGCAAGTGCTTCTCCAGTGAGCTATAGCCCTTGGTCTTTATTTTTCACATTTTGAGATTGGCTCTCACCAAGTTACCTGAGCTACCCCCACACTTGGAATCCTCCTGCCTCGGCCTCCTGTGTAGCTGAAATGACAGGCGTGCCCTGCTACCCCAGCCTGAAATGCTTTTAGCATGTAATTTTTGATTCAGTAAATTTATAACAAACATTTGTGTGAGCGAGGTCACGTGGAAATGGAACACTGTCACATCTCCACTGTGAAGCTCTAGAACCTGCCAGCCCCCTCTCTCGGAAGACGCCTTGGTCCTGAGAACCCCACCCCATCTCCCCAGGATTTCCTTGGGCCCCTCCCCCCAGAACTCAAGGCTTGGCCCCAAGGGTTGGTGCCCAGTGACTTCCCAAGTGGCATCTGGATCCCATGGTCTGTTTTGGACAGAGCTCCTACTGCCCCGGGGTGCGGTGTGCCTGCTTCTCCAAGGACGACAAGTACGTGTTCGCGGGCTTGCAGGACCGCTCTGTCATTGTCTGGAGTGTGCTGGACGGTGAGTCTCACTCTCAGCTGGGCTTGGGCTGTGATCAGACACCAAGGGCCCTGGCTCCTAGAGGCCCCTGCCTCACCTCCTCTGACCTCCCCGATGACAGGTCTGCATGTGGCCTGCACAGGCTCCTTCCCAGGCCAGCCTCCTAAGGGTGGCAGGGCCCTTTTGTGAGCCCCTGTACAAAGGAAGTGGCCATGAGTGCTGCAGAGGGGTCAGCATGTCTGGGGCGGGTTTGTGGGCTTTATGTAGACATGGGTGAGGCCCCGCAATGTGGGAGGAGAAGGACACTGAGCCACATGCTGCAAGGATGTGGCTGAGCCATGCCTCCACGTTCTGTCAGTCTGAATTTGACCTTTCAGGTGTTTCTGATGGGACCTTCCTAAATGTAGCAGGATAGACACATTTTATTTCATAGTATATGGACTAGATTTGTAGCCTTTTTTTTTTTTTTTTTTTTTTTTTGGTGGTGTTGAGGATGGAATCCAGGGCCTTCATGCCAAGCTAGGTCCCATCCCTTTAAATATTTTCATTTTGAGGCAAGGTGTAAATCACTACACGGCCCTGGCTGGCTCAGACCTGCCATTCTCCTGCTGCAGCCTCCCAAGAGCGCTGGGGTGACGGGTGTGGGCCAGGGTACCAATACCCTGGAGCGTAAGACAGTATAGCACGACACCAGACAGTCAGTTGCCCACAGTTCAGAAGCCAAGGTCTGAGGCTGGGGGCCTTAAAGTGCATTCCAACCTGGTTCATGGCCTGTCATCTCCCCTCCTCCAACAACAACACTGGCTGACCTCCTCCAGGTCAGAGACCTGCACAAGGAATCTAACTTGCCTTGTATCTCTGAATCTTCAAAGTTCTCTTGGGCAGGTAGGTTTTGCCAAGGGAATTCCCACTGCAGAAGCAGGTGGGGCAGCCTGCAAGGTTCCCTGTCACATTGGGCTGGTATGGCAAGGACCTGCCCTCCCTGCAGCCAGCTCTGGAACATGGTGGAGGGGATCCCTGCACCCTAGCTTTCTTGTCTTCACCCAACAGGCACACTACTGGCCAGCCAGTTTGTCCATGCAGTGGTGACCAGAATCACCCCCACTTCCAATGGCTTCATCGCCCCTACAAGCCACGGCTACATCCTCCGGGAGCGGTTCCAGTGCCCAACCTCCAGGGCCTCCCAGCAGGACCCGCTCAGAAATTTCCAGAAGGCAGTGTGGAGGGTCAAATGGAGGCAGAAGCAGAATCTGGCAATGGGAGGCCCCCAAGACTCAGCATCTGAGGGAGCCCAGGAAAGGGAGCCCAAGCCCAACAAGCGCTCCCAGGTCTGCCTGATCGTGTGAGCCCGAGGCCAGCTCTGTGCCCATGGCTGTTGCATAGGAAGTAGCTTTCCCAGAGCACATCCAACCCCAAGGCCTCAGAGCATTTTCCATGCTCCCATTCCTTTCCTTACTGTGAGATCCGTTTTAGATCTGCAGCTCCAGGTTGGCAACATGCAGGCCAGTGCCCTGACAGCTCTGTGTCAGGAAAGAGCGATTCCTGTTCCAAAGAGTTACAGCCGGGAGCTCGCCCCATCCACTGGCCCTGACTGGCTGAACATGCACCCTTGAACCAGTCACCCCGTTCTGTGAGAATGCAGCATTCTGATTGGCTGGTCTGGTCTGAGGCCCACCACTGGGCTGGGGATAAAATCCACAGCAGGCTGAGTGAGGAAGTGGGTGTGATTCCAGGGAGGAAGGTGGGGCGTGTGAGTACGAAACAGGCTAGACTACTGAGTGGACCAGAGGGCTCTCCAGGCTACAGAGCCACAGAGGCTGTCCTCTGGTCCCTGTCACAGCTGTTTCAGGGAGAGCAAACATTTGTGAGTCCACTTGACAGATGGGGACACTAGGCCATGCAGAGGTGACTCAGGCTTGCTCCATGGTCAAGCCTGAGGCATATGCGCTCTAAGGAGTGACAGCCAGGAGCCATCTGTGCTGATCCTTATGGCCCAGGCAGTCCCATTAGCCTTCACAGGGAAGCAACTTACTGCCCAAGAGATGCGGGGGGCACAGCGGCCTGGACCCTGCTGTCAGAGCTCCCTTGCTGGTACACAGAGCTGGAAAGCCAAATTTTATACTCCATGTTCCCATCTGTAAAAGTTGGCCACCAGCTCAGGTGTACATAGGTACCCTGGCCTGTCTGTCTCTGCTTCATGAGTTGATTTGGGGGCTCACGCTGGCATTAAGATAATAAACATACTACAGTTCTTGCAGCCCCTGTCTCTGGATCCCTAACTTGTAGGGTAAAGACACTGATATAGCTTACAAACTGGAGGCTCCCAGAAGCAGCAGAAAGAGCCTGCAGGCTCTGCTCCTCTGCTGGGCCGCCTCCCTGTGTAAGTGCCACAGGCCTGCCGCTGCCACCAGTTACGTGGACTTCCTCTTTGCCAGCAGCCTTCCAGTCACTCCCTTGCACTGCGGCCTTTGCTGTACTGACAAGAGGCGTCAAGCCACCCAGGGGCCGTCCCCCCTTGGCTCTGCCGGAGCCTTTGCAGATTCCGAAACGCAACCCGGGGAAAAGAGGCTTTTTCATGGCACCAGATGGAGTGCAGAACTCACATGTGCTAGGGAAGGGCTCGATCGCTGAGATGCCCCAGGCCCACAAAATAAAGCTTTTGACTTCGAGGAGACTACTAGCTCATCCATCCACTTTTCAACCACTTCATGGTTCTAAGGCAGCCTGAACAGGTCTGCAAATACTCAGATCCAATCCCATTTTTGAAATATTGTTGGGTGAGTGCAGCGGCACACACCTGTAATCTCAGCTCCTTGAGCCACTGGGGCAGGAAGAGCCCAAGCTTAAGGCTGGCCTGGGAAAAAAATTTTTTTAACTAAAAAGGGCTAGGGGCCTGGTGAGATGGCTCAGTGGTCTAAAGCACCGACTTAGAACAAACTAAGCTAAGCTAAGCAAAGCACAGGGACTGCGGTTCAATCCCCCAGCACCACATGCCAGCCAGCCCCGCCCCTTGGTGGGCTGAGCTGGCCACACAAACACACAAAATAAATAAATAAATAAATAAATAAATAAATAAATAAATAAATAAATAAATTTAAAAAAAAAAACTAAAAAGGGATGGAAAATAAATAAATAAAAAGGGTTGGAGTTGTAGCTCAGTGGTAGAACACTCTAGCATGCAGGCGGCCCTGGGTTCAATCCCAGCACTGACTGAAAACAGAATCAAGCTGTCATGTCAAAATGTTCAGGGGCATTGGGCAAGAGCTTTTTTAGATCTTTAAATTGTGTTTGGTATTTGTTAACATGTATTAGTCCTACATCCTGATGGGCTTTGGCCGGGTTTGCATAAAGGGCAGCTAATGAAATCCAAGTGCCCAACCCACTCCCAGCGTGTCATAATCACGGCTGAACATACAGGTCGACTTCTTCGGCCTGTGCTTCTTGTCTTCTCTGTGTGCCTCATTCATTTCGCATAACCATCTTCCAGTTTTATCACTTTTCTGCAGATGTGGCAATTTCATCCTTCTTTGTGGCTAAATAATAGTCCCTTGTGTGCACCTTAGTCTCTGCTCCCGTTCAATCACTGATGGACACTGTGCCTAATCCAGCCACAGCCAAAGGCAGCTTCATTTAGGGAGGTGCAGAGTGCTAATCCAGGGCTCTCCTAGGAGCTCTCCTTAACTAAAGAATTCATGCAGATGTAAAGGGAGCCTTTGTTAAAAAAAAAAAAAAACAAAAAACAAAAAACTTCCCTTTGCTGCCCATTCTCTGGAACTGGGGTTTATGTCGTGCGGAAATAAAGTAGATGCTAGGACCAAGTAGGATTTCACCTTGCATTGAGAGTCGCTGCTTGCCTCTCAACGCAGATGAGGAATCCACAATCAACTGGGAAAGTCAGCCACTCTTGTACAGATACAGTCACGTGACCTATGTGACAGGGACACACCCGGAAACCCCGAGCGGCAGCTCCTCCGTGGTTTGAACATCTGTGGCTCCCGGAGGCTCACAAGCCTGTGACCTTGGGGACTTCCATGGGAACCTGACCGGAATGCGCTTCCCCAGATTGTGACTGTACTTATCTGACACAGGAAAAATGTTGTTACTAATGAGATGCTACTCGGGAGGGCTGCCTGGGTGCACTCCCTCAGCTCTGCTCCTGGGTCTCCCGCCGTGATGTGCTGCAGAGCGCATGGTCATGGGCTGAACCCCCACAGCTGTGAGCCCAAGTGGATCTTTTCCGCTTCCTGTTGGGGGTCTCGGATGTTTCGTTATAGTAGCAGAAAGCTGGCTCAGCACTGAGAGGCGGCAACCACCCTGCTGCTGTCCGGCCCTGACGGAACACTTTTGGACAATGAGGCCTGGCCCCACGGCGAGCGAGGTCTAAGCCCAGGGCAGACCCAGAGAATATGTCTCAGGCACACAACTGAGGAGGCAAGGGACACAGCTGCCAACAAATGGCACAGTGGTGAGCACTTGCTTTGCCTGCACTAGGCCTAGGGTTTCCCCCCAGCAAGGCAAAATTTTTTTTTTTTTTTTGGCAGAGCCAGGGATTGAACTTAGGCCCTTACACTTGCCAGGGAAGCGCTTATTCTACTGAGCCATCTCCCTGGCCCCTATTTTTGAATCAGACTTTTTTTGTTGTTGTTTTTTGTGGAACTGGGGATTGAACTCAGGCCCTTGCATTTGCCAGGGAAGCGCTTATTCCACTGACCACATTCAATGAAGCCAAGTCCTTGACGTTCAGCATGCTGGTGTTCTGCAGCACATGCAGTGAATAAATAAGACGCATGATGAACAAGATATCAATTTTATTTATTTACTTATTTGATTTGTTAGAGACTGGGTCCTTCTAGGTCATTCAGGGTGGCTTTGAATTTACTTTGTCACCCAGGCTGGCCTTGAACTTGGGTGCTCCTGCTGCTTCAGCTTCCTAAGTGCTGGGATGAAAGATATGTGCCACCAACCTGCGACTGAAGGGTTTTAGTAGGCATTTCAGAATGAAATAGCCACCACATGCCTCAAAACATCTATGATAGCTATTTCTTTCAAACTAAAATCCAATCAGGATGGGTCTACACATTGCGTTTAGACTTATGGGGGTGTTTTGTCCTTTCTTGTTCTCGAGCAGGGTTGGCAGATTTCACCAGCAAATGCAGCTTTTCTCTTCTTTTCTTTGTCTTTCTCTTCTTCTGCAGTGCTGGGGATGGAACCAGGGCTCCCCCAGGTGCTAATGTTCTACTGCTGAGCTGTGTCCAGCCCTCTTTCGGTTTTGTTTTTCAGAGGAGCCTTTCATTTATTTCGTAAGACCTAGGGAAGTGAGGAAGTCAGGACAAGGAGCAAAGACTATGAGCCCAACCAGGGAGGCAGGACGCTTGGACAGTGTGTCATCCCAACTAGCTGTCCCGGCCAGCGCAGCGATCCGGTGCCCTGCAGAGACGCCATCTGGATTCGGTCTTTAGCCCTCTTGTATTTATGTATAAAGTTTTATTGGCACACAGTCCATTTTGCCATTAGGTGCTGTGTGTGACTACCTTCCTGCTCAGCGACAGAGCTGAGTGACTGGGAAAGAATAAACTGTCCCAAAGCCACAATCACTGACAACCTGGTCCTTGCTAGATAAGAAAGAATTAAATAAACATGGCAGTTTTTGGTCGTAAGGCCTAGTTAAATTCAAGGTGAATATTTGTTTTCTAATAGACTTCATTTGGTGGGTGTGAGGTGTGATCTCGTTGTGTCATCTGTCACCTCATGGATTGTCAGGGTTGATTGGCCTGAGCTGGCAGCGTGGCGGGGGTCCCCTTCCTCCCTCGAGGCCTTCTGCGCAGCCTCCTGAAGCTGTGTGCTGGTCCCACATGGGGAACGCCTTCCTGGGTCAAGGGTATGAGACTGGCCGCGCTCCCCGCTGAGGCCTCCAAGCAAGCTCTCAAATAGGCTTCACTTTCTTTTTTTTTTTAATTTATTTATTTATTTATTTAGTGTGTGTGTGTGTGTGTGTGTGTGTGTGGCCAGCTCAGTACACCAGGGGGCGGGGCTGGCTGGCATGTGGTGCTGGGGGATTGAACCGCGGTCGCTGCATTTTTGCTTAGCTTGTTCTAAGTAGGCGCTTTAGACCACTGAGCCATCTCACCAGCCCCAGGCTTCACTTTCTTAAGAGCAGCTTTAGTGTCACTGAGTAGAAGACACAGAGATCTCCCATGCCACAGCCACATGTCCCTATTGTTCATGCTTCTTTTTTTTTTTTTTTTCCCCCTGTATTTTAGGGAAAGGTCTACAGGGTGTTCAAGGTCTCACTACTAGATCGGACTCGTAGTGATCCACCTGTTTACAACCTCCCAAGAGCTGGGAT